AGATTTTCATTGAGTCTGCTGTCTCAGTTTTTATGATGGCAATTTGCATATACTCCAGAATATTATGAATAGTGATCAGATGAATTACAATTAATTGCAAAGTCCTGCTTTGCCATGAAAATGAACCTAAACACAAAAAGTCCATTTCCACTATCAGATCATCAAGAACTTCAAGGAGAGAGGTTGATAATTGTGAAGAAGGAACCATGGCGCCCAAGAAAGTCCAGAAAGCGCCAGGATCATCTCCTAAAGTTGATTCAGCTGTGGGATCAGGGCACCACCAGTGCAGAGCTTGCTCAGGAATGGCAGCAGGCAGGTGTTCATCTGCACGCACAGTGAGGCGAAGACTTTTGGAGGATGGCCTGCTGTCAAGAAGGGCAGCACTTCTCTTCAAGAAAAAACATCAGGGACAGACTGATATTCTGCAAAAGGTACAGTACAGGGATAGGATTGTTGTGGACTGGGGTAAAGTCATTTTCTCTGATGCATCCTCCTTTTGATTGTTTGGGGCATCTGGAAAAAAGATTGTTTGGAAAAGAAAAGGTGAGAACTACCATCAGTCCTGTGTCATTCCAACAGTAAAGCATCCTCAGACCATTCATGTGCAGGGTTGCATCTCAGCCAAGGGAGAGGGGTCACTCAAAATTTTGCCTTAGAACACAGCCATGAATAAAGAATGGTACCAAAACATCCTCCGAGAGCAACTTCTCCCAACCATCCAAGAAGAGTTTGGTAACAAACAATGCCTTTTCCAGCAGGATGGAGCACCGTGCCATAAGGCAAAAGTGTTAACTAAGTGGTTCGGGGAACAAAACATTGACATTTTGGGTCCATGGTCAGGAAACTCCTCAGACCTTAATCCCATTGAGAACTTGTGGCCAATCCTCAAGAGGCGGGTGGACAAATAAAAACCCATATATTCTGACAAACTCCAAGCATTGATTATACAAGAATGGGCTGGCATCAGTCAGTATTTGGCCCAGAAATTGATTGACAGCATGTCAGAGTGAATTGAAGAGCACTTGAAAAAGAAGGGCTAACACTGCAAATACTTACTCTTTGCAAAATTTAATTAAAGTCTGTGACACATATGAAATGCTTGTAATTATACTTCAGTTTACCATAGAAACATCTGAAAAAAACCCAATCAACACTGAAGCAGCAAACTTTGTGAACTTGTGTCATTCTCATAACTTTTGGCCACGACTGTACTTTTGCTGATGGAGGTTTGATTCCAAAACAGTGAAGACTCAACAATTTGGTTTCAGCCATTATACTCTAGAATCTGAGAAAAACAACCTCAAGAAGTAATACAAGAGAGCAAAAATGTGAACTGTCTCGCAGGGAACTAGGAGGGCCATCTGGGGTCCCCAAGGAGCAGGTTGAAAAACACTGGTCTAAATGGAAGCTGACACTTGCTTTGCCCCTCAGCTTTGCTCCAGGCTGAAGGAGATAATCACTTCTCTTGTTGTTTGCACACAGAATCAGGAAAAAAATACATGGCTACCAGTTTGTGTAATTGTGCCTATAAGCAAACTGATATAGTTTTCGGACATTACCGAAGTACTCAACACAAATGTGAAGTGCAAACCATCAAGATTACTTGGCCCACCAAGAAATACCATACCAAGCACCACAGAATAGCTCTGCGATGACTTTGAAGTTTTTACTGTTGTGCACCACCCCCTGCCACTGTGCCAGTTTCCTCCTGTACTCCAAAGACATGCAGTTAGGCTAACAGATATCTCTGCCTGGCACGTTATCCAAGAAACTCTAACCAATATGAGAAGTTTGAAGATGGATAGAAAATAGTTGTCAGGTGTGGCATGCACTCATTCATTCACAACACAAGACATTGTGATATTGAGCCCTTGCTAAGTAGATAATAACGAATTCTCAACATCAGAGAGTAAAAGTGTACTTTTTGATCACGTGAGATAACGGATAACAGATTTAAGTAGTTTCAGGAATCAGAGTGTGCAGCCACCTCCTTCTCTCCTTCCTTTCGGTGGCCAGTCTTATGTCACCCGATTAACAGTGTCACCATGGCAGAGCAGTGATGGTGAAGCTGATCTTCACAATGCCCTTAAGATAATAATAGCAGCATCTACAACTCCCAGCTGATAAAGACTGTTCTCATCGTGTAGCTGTTCAGTACCCTGTTAACATCCCTTCAAGGTGATACTGGGAGTCATTCAGCCAGTGATCCGATGCCAGTGGGACCCTGCGGATTACTGGTGCTCAATAATCCCCCACCTATAGCGGTGAGGACACCCCCGGGCTAATAGATGCACCTCCCAAAACTCGTGCCTGGTTACATACAGTAAGAGTAGACAACCTTGTTTTGAGGATTTTAAGGCCATTTTCCTGAACTCACAGCCGCCACAGACTGAGTGAGTGTGCTGGGGCAGGGTAGCAGAGAGAGCGAGCCCTGACCCTACCTCCCTGTCTCACTCTGCCCCCCCTCTCTCACCCTGCCTCCCTGTCTCACTCTGCCCCCCTCTCTCACCCTGATCCTGCCTCCCTGTTTCATCCTGCCCCCCCCCACCCTTCCCCTGCCTTCTTCCATCATGCTGCCTCCACTTGCAGAGATAATTGCCTCCCTCTGGCCCCTGCAGAGGTGTTACTCTCACTGTCAACAAAAAGGTATGTGCCTAGAGGAAAAAGAGCAAAACAGAATCCACCCTATTTCCCAAAGTCATGTTACCAAGAAATACATGCTATTAAGAAACCGCAAGCAGATATTTTACATGCAAGTTTTCATAACTATCAGGATCAGCCACTGCCCTGCCTCCTTTTCATTATGCCTGTCAATTCCCTGTTTGACCAACTGGTGTCACTGGTCATCCTGTTCTGTGCTCCACTTGTTTCCCATAGATGGCACCCTAATGTGCTCCCTTGTGCCCTGAGCCGCTGCATGGCTTAATGTGCTAAGCAGGTCGCTATGTCATCCAGGCTCTTTTCTGTTGCAGGTTTGAGGCTGGCCAGAGGCCAGTTTTTAGTAATGTTCAATTACCCTTGTTTTCTAGCCTCCCTTGGTGTTTTATCCTATATCTATTGATTACCCTCACCCTTGCTTGTGTTCCTAGTAATTGTTACTGCTCACACTTGTCTCTTTTTGAAGCTCATGTTAAGTGTATTTAAATGCCTGTTTCTTGTGTTTTTTTAAAAAAATTTACGAAAAAATGGTGCATTGAACAGGGAAAGGGGAAGATGAAGAATTCGATGTTATCATTGGCTTAACTACCCTACTGTACATTAATTTACTGAACAGTCATAACCAGATTAACCAACAACATAATTACATTATTCATATTACTCACCCACACATATATGAAAAATATCATAAAATCCAAATTATGAAGAATCTACAGTTTCACACACATTTCTCTATCTGACTTCTTAATTTGCATGTCTAACCTGTGAGTATGGTAGTCACACGAAAGAGCATGTAGATACATGTCCCAAAACAGAGAAGAGTATGTAGATGCTTGTGCCAAAACACAGAAGAGTGTGTAAAGGCATGTGCTAAAACACAGAAGTGTATGCAGTTGCATATACCACAAAATGTTAAAGTGTGTAGATGCATGCACTAGAACTATATATATATATATATATATATATATATATATATATATATATATATATAAACAACTTGCTCTGTACACACATGAATTTTTATTTTCCAGATTCTGCAGTTTTTAGAACATCAGGTAAATATTAACAGTAATATTCAATGTTCCTGTTAAAGTAACATAAAAACTCCAGACAGCAAATGCAGAAAACAAATAAGAAACCAGGATGATATATTGGTTGTTTTTATTATTATTGAGTGTGTTTTGAAATATTTTAAATTATGTTTAAATATTTTGGTTTTAATTCTGAGGTAATAACCTACGCACCGCATATTTCAAAATAAAATACACTCAATAAAATTTAAGATTGATTTCAAATGCAGGTAAAATTACAAAAAAAATATAGATCAGGTTACCAGACATTAGAATGCACAGACACACATGCAAACACATATACATGCACACAGAAGCATGAAGATATACTGTATACCATGCAGACTTAGGAGCGATGATATCACGCCACAGTACACAGCCTCATGTCCCTTTAACAGACTGTAAATGGATTTTCTCCCATGAAATTAAAGATGAATAATTTAATTGTGAAATCTGAATGCAGTGGGCTCACGTCAGCCTGCTATCCTCACCCATGCTTCATGAGAGGGATGTAGGAGGATGCAATGAAGAAATAAATGGCTAAAGACAGGGCGCTTAGCTCTCAGCAATAAGACTTAACTTCCAGGTTATTCATTTCACACATGGACTTGCACACCGCTTTTCAATGCCACTGAGCCCATCGCCATGGCAAGGGATCTGCAGCAAATCGATAGCTGGTTCTGAAAGCAGCGCGGTTGGCTGGAGCAGTTATAAAGGCGTGTACAGAGAGACCGTCTTGCGTGCGTCATCCTTACTACTACTACTACCACTACAGGCATGAATTAATGAGCATCCAGCTGCAGGCACTCACAGCCTCGCTTGGGGGTCTCTGAGCAGCAGACAAGCAGTGGAGGTGTGTATGGGAGCCCAAGGTTAGTAAAAGGATGGGGTGAGAGGGCTCAGACTGACAGGAGAAGGAAGATGTACAGATATGCAGAACTTCAGGAACACAAAGGGCAGAGGACAACGTAGAATTAACAATGGCTAAAACAAGCTTAGGCATTGGAAATCCAGCCAGTCATAATCTGGAGTTCAGCCCATCACTCAGCAAAGGGCACTCCCCTCGAAACAGCATCTCTGCTCCCTAATCACTAATTATTGCAAGACACAGAGGTGGAATAGCAGTGCTCCATTTTCACCCCCCCACAGAGCGGCTTACTGAAGCAGACAGGCAGCGCAGCTGTGCTACGTGCGCACTTGTACATGGTACTGTTCTCTGTGCACACCCCCCCCCCCCCCCCCCCCCCCCCCCCCCCCCCCCCCCCCACTCACCTGGGCCATGTCTTCAGCGTGGCTGCGAGTGGCTCCAGATCCCACGAGGCATGACATCCGCCCCCCCACACGCTGCACTCTCAGCCGCACCTCAGAGCCACCCAGGGACACTTGTGCACACTCTGCTGTGCTTTTCCCTGGACAGCATGACAGCGCTGTCACTCTGCCTTCCTGTGACCCTGCTTGCTGTTGGTGTCCCCAGACCTCCCCCAACTTCATACGTATCCAGCAAGTAGATGACGGAAATGCCGGTGTAGAGAAATCCAAAGAGAAGCTCCCCTCTGTCTGACACTCTCCCTCTCAGCCGCTCTCTTTAAGCTGGCTCAGTTCTTTAGCTCTCGCGCACTCCCCTCCTGTTCCCTCCTCCCTTTTCTCCCCTCCCCCCTGCAGTATGTGCACACACACATACAGGCAATTACATTCAGAGAGAGCACGTAAGAGGGAGGGGACAGGAGGCAATGTGGGAGAGAACACCATGTGACTCTAGGTGATCTTCTGTAGGATTCTCTGACAGCCATACAGTGCATACCTCAATGAAAATATCTGTTGCCATTGACAACCACTGCTCTGTACACGCAAGCCATATATCACAAGGTTCAGTGCCATTGGCTGAAATATTACACTGCTTGCTTCTACAGGCAGATAGCATGTTGGGACTTGTGGTTCATCCGATGCATGTGAAAGCAGAGGCAACATCTTATAATGTGCCATGTTTTTCTGTATCTCCTACTCTCTTATATTCATGCATTCAGTGTTTGTGTGTTCATGTGAAATATAAATTTAAGGGTCCTTACTGTTCTGTTCTATTAGGAGATTTTTCTCTGTTTGCAATATGACAAACAGTAATAAAAGAGTATTACACTACTTCAGCTGGGAATCCATGTAACATGTGAGAGTGCACACGCACACATACATTAGAGGCTGAAAAGGGCAGCCAATCAGGAAGGAGGCATCCTTTGCCATTTCCTTTGGACCCTAACATTGGAAGCTCCAGTCCCACAACAACAGGAACTGGAAAGTCCACTACTCAGAGCAGCACAGCAATGCTTCCCTTCTTTCCCTATCTTTGCTGGGTTGATAAATCGCTGCCCTGACTCCCAAAAATAAAATAAGGGGCCTTTGGGTTTATACTGTGTATGGTTCAGAGAATTTGTGAATACCAACAGGGTACCTACATGTGTGCTCTTCCAGCCTGGTGCTGAAAGAATCAAATGGTTAATGAAACAGATTAGACTAGACAAAGACAGAGAAATAGTCTGAACTTGACAAAGTGAGAAAATAGGAACAATGAAGGGAAAAGCAGGATCTTGCAGGAGAAGCAGCAAAACAACAATTTTGGGAGAGGTAATTTTTGATACTATACTATACTGCGTTGCCATTGATAGATGCAAGAAGCAAGTACATATCATATTAGATGCTTAGAATCTATGCTTGTTAACTACTAGGTACAGCAGAAAACTCAATTGATAAAAATAGTTTTTTTTTTTTTTTTTAAATGAAAAGCAAGAGAGAGAGAGAGTTTGGTAAGAACTGTAGGCCTCGGAAGGTGTTTTGTAAGAGTCCTTTGACGAAGAAAAACTTTCCATAGCCTAGCTGGTGTCATGGCGCCACCTAATGGAACTTCAGCAGTGCTGCCAACACGGGAGGAAGTTTTAACATCGATAGGCATTTTGCCTTTGGCAGTTGTCGAATTCGAAGAATTTTTTTTCAACTAAAGCGATGTACAACGCTGTGGATAACGCTGATGACGAATTATATTAAGTGTTAATATCGAATGTAGCGCGTATTTATGTAATAGTGGTTTCTAAATGGACTGTTTATTTCACATATTTCTTACCTAATGTTACAATTTGCATTCATTTTAATATATCGGGTTACGCAGACGTATGTATTGCTCAGGTAGACTAAGTATACAAACTGTCAACGTAATATAAAGATTTCACCTGAAACCCCAGCCAGCGCACTGTTCGCAGTGTCTTTACGCTCACTATCTGCAGACACTCCTTCGTGGCGTCTGCACTTACGTGCCACATTTCCAACCTGTAAAAGCAGCACATCAGAACACAACACGGCGCGACGCTGTCCCCCGGATTTAAAAGAAGCTTAATTAATAACTTATTTTTCTGATGGACCATCAAACGGAGGTGAATGTCGGCGGACCTCGGATGAGACCTGTACAAGAACGAAGCGATCATACCGCTTTGGTGGTTGGAGATTTTCTTTATGTATGGGGTGGTTATAGGGTGAGTAATGTGGATTAAAACTAAATTACGATTATAATGTTTAGTACGCTTATGATTGCAAACGCCGTACCAAAATATAAACTATAAAGAAAATATTATTATTAATGATAGTTTATTGGAAATAACCATTACCATCAGATGACATTTACAGTTTCATAAATTGTCTGTAACTTTAATATTGTCTTTCGAATTTCCTTTTGCAGTCGATTTCGGGGGAAGAAATTTTCTTTCCTAGCGATGAGATCTGTATATATGACATGAGGAGCGGTGAATGGTAAGAGTAAATTGTAATCATATATTTAATACGAGGCAACTTTTGGTATTTTGGTATATATAGTAGATAAGGCTACCTTTATGTAATTGCTTCGACAGGTAAATAACTTCAGTTGTACCCCACTTCATTGTGCAGTAAGCCAAAATTTACATGTTGACACACATTTGCGTGCATTTGTTAGGCAGACTCGTCCGATGGAGGGAGATATCCCACCGTCCTTGTCAGGAACCTGCGGCAGTTATCTCAACGGCAGTATGTACATCTTTGGTGGGTGTAACGACAACGGGCATTCAAATCAGGTAGTCCATCAAATTAAAAAAAATATGCTATGCGACTAGGGGAAACGTTATACAGCTGTATTCGACACAGGGGTATTTATAAGCACATTTGAAGCGTCCCATTATTTTCCTGTATTAAAATACTGTGTTCCGCCATATATTGGAGGTGTTCAAAGTTATATTCTCATATGTACAGTACGTGTGTAATACAATGAAATTGTTATTCATTGTATTTATTATAAATAGTGATATTATAAGATTTGCGTGATACAAATGGGTTAAGTACAATTTTGGATTACATTGATATTGTCCTATCATTAAATTACTACGGCCCCATCGTGTTATGTCACTAAGAATACATTCGTGTCATTTGAATGTAAAATTAGTTTCATTTTGTGATGAGCGTAAAAGAATAGCCACGGAACCCATGGGTGCGTCGTAGATTAACCTTTACATGTAGGCTATGGGACATAACATTGTTCTGCTCATTGATACTTAAATCAAACGTTAACTTCATACCAGGCAATAGATTATCCAAACAATGTACGTTTTTTCCCACCATTAGTTGATTACACGACAAAATACTGCGCTAAGGACAATTAATTGTTCTGTTTTTTTATTTGTTTCATTACGCCACTGTAACATATTGTGCAATTTAATGTGAAACTGTATATTCTGTTATAGATGTACTGTGTTAATCTACTGGGTGAAAAGTACATTTGGAAGAACTTTACAGAGGGTGTGGAGTCTCGCCCCACACCAAGGGACAAGCACTCTTGCTGGGTTTATAAAGACAGGTTGGGCTTTTTGCTTCAAAAGTACTGCATTAGTGATTCAAATTAAAACAGAAACATACACAAAACAAATGGTAAAATAAAAATTTCCACAATAAATGAAATAACCACAACATGAATAAAACTACAGAACGTGATTTGTACTATCTAGCTCGCCTGTTATCTCGGTGGTGTAATTATTTGTGGTAGTCTACTCCTCATCTTGCCTTTGACAGCTCCAGTGCAATGCAAACATTCAAACAGGCTGTAAGTGATACTGAACTACTGGAATGAACACATGGGCTAATAGTAACTGAAAGGCCTACATATTAACTACTGATAAGGTGTTATGTTTTTAAACAGGAATGTAGTTATATGATTGTAAAGTGACATTGATTCAAATATATGAGGAAAATGTATACCAGCACGTATTTGATCTTTTTAGCCATTATTATTGCATTGCAGTCAACTACTTCCTTTACTTAACAGCTGTTTTTGATGTTATCATAATGTGTACACTCAGTTGCAATTACACTTTCATACATTCATACAATAAATGGAAAGCAGCTTCATACATGTGTAGTGTGATAACTTTAACTGAAAGTTGATCTGCTGAGGGCAGAACCCATAAAAATCTAAATTACTTTCTAGCAATCATTTTATGATTCATGTTTGTTTAATTTTATGGATTCTTAAAATATCAAAATACACATTGAAAGCAGCAATTGTAGGTTCTAAAGTCTGAGTATTTATATACACCCTGGAGTAAGGGATTAGTAATAAATAGATTAGAAATAGGTTCAAATAAAATGAAATTGGGTTAAAAGTCAAGTTGATCTTTTAAAAGAGCAAACTATATAGTGATATTGGCTATATGCAGAGGTATGGAATTAATAATTTGTTTCCTTTATTTTATTTAGTATTATCTATTTTGGCGGTTATGGATGTAAGCAGATCAGAGATGTCCACCCCAACAGTTTCACTATAGATGAAGCGTCTTGGGTAAAATATGACACTTTTTTGTTTTTTCCTTTTTTCCCTCTGCATGTTTCATTGAGATATATATTGCTGACATGTTTGCAATTTGCATTCAGGCTGTGATTGGGAATGCACTGTTCAGGTTCTGGGGCTGGAACAATGAAGTTCATGTTTATGATCCCTGCAGCAACACCTGGACTGAGCCTCACACCACAGTAAGATGAACAGTTTCAGACTTGTTCCATACTTACACTTTTACTGGGTTTTTCTTAAAAGTAAATCTTAATTTTATCAATAAAAAAATGTTTTTGAGGCTACAGTTTGCAATGCCTCAGAGTTTTTTTTAATTAAAATGTAAACGTTCTTGATTTTCAGTTAGATTTGATAGAGTGCTTGGCAGACTCTGGTTTGTTCAGAAATTTCATTTGGCATTTGATGACAGGGTTCTTCCCCCACACCACGGGCTGCTCATGCCAGTGCTACTCTAGGCAGCAGGGGATATGTCTGTGGAGGCATGGTGGGTGATTTTCATGTTTTCTGTTCTATCATGGCTAGGCTCACCTTATTGCTGGGGGACTCCATCTAAGTACATTCGCAAAGGGGACATTGCTCAGATTCTATGGAAGCTGCAGTTCTTTTTGCTGTCAGAAATGAAATCATATTCACAAGTTCAAGTTTTTAATTTTATTTGCAGAGTTGTATGCTTACTGAAATACAATTATTCGAGCACTTTTCACAGGTGATAATAATGTCAGTTATTTTTGGTTAATATTATTTCCTTAACAAGAAAGTGAAGGCTTAGTATGATTTTAATGTGCTGAAAGTTGAATGTGATTTCATGTGCTGAAGGCCGAGTGTGATTTTGTTGTGTTGAAGGTTGACTGTGATTTTGTGTGTTGAATGCTGACTGTGTTTTCGGTGTGATGTCTCTCTATAGGAAAACATGATGATGGACCTTCATTATCTGGATTTGGAGTCCTGGACATGGACAAATATGTAAGAACAGACACAGAAATTACGGTTAACAATTTTCTTTAAAGAAAGGCATTGAAATGGATTTTTTGTACTGTGATGTAAAATAAAAAGAAACTGTACATCTCTATAGAACAATGTGCCTTCAGAAACTATTCCTGTGAGGTACTTGTAATGCCGTTTCACCTAATACTCTTGCTCGGCAGGTTCCACCAGTGCTTTATGATATTGTATTTCTTTGGGTTCTTTACAAACTGCTTCATAACTCCCTCCAAGGGACATGTGGATCATCTTCCAGCTGTTAGCAATGCATATTTGGGTCCTTTATTTGGTATCCAAGAATGTAGCTGCTAACTGTCTATGACATGATCAGACCAATGGTGCAGCTGTGGTCCTGCCTGAAATTCCAGAAAAAAACCCACCTGACAAAACTCTCACTTAGGACTGTAGGACATGTTCATTTAGGACTCCGTTGAATGTGCCCTGGGTATTATTTTGATTTGTCAATCACAAACTCATATGACTCCACTTTTATGTTCTCCAGTATTCATAAAACATTCAGTCACTATACATTTCCCTTTTTCCCCACTGGAAAACTTGCTTGTATTGTCAGCCTTTGCCTGTTGTTATGAGCACATTTACCAGTATATATAGATACTGTGTAGTATTTCGCTTTGTATTTAAAAAAAATATATAACGCTGGGTATAGGTAGTGCCTGTTTCTCTCAGATAATAATAGACTATAGCTCCAGAAATATCTGACCATGACAATAATGTTTCTCCCACTTTTGATCTTACAGTTGTGTTATACAAACAATGTAATAGGTGATTTTTACATTTTGACCCAGAGTCTTAACTGGGTTTGAAATTATGACGTTCACTGGGAGCCAATGATTTCTGAGATCGACTACAGGCTAGCTTTTTATCCTGCATTGGATAATGTTGGAGTACGCCGTCTCCACCGGGTCAAGAGATTCACAGCTGACACGTGGAGAAGTTGCAGGTCACCAGTTTATTCTCTGACAGATTGCAATCCGGGAGCGGCCGTCTGACATACATTCAGCATGTACAGGAGGAAGCTCTGCCATATGTATCAGCTGTATCCCTTTTAAAGCCCTTTGGGCATTTTCTCCCCCTCTCTCGGTACCTTCCGTCTACGTGACAACCACATGTTTGACACTTGCTCTAGTTAGTCGGTTAGTACTTGTCCTTGTGGAAGGCTACAGATACGTAAGGGCCGCTGATGTTTTCTGTCGCTCCCTCTATCGGTCCCGTTTAGGTAACCTTGCCCTGCCGGTGGCAGTCAGTTCTCGTTTCAGTTAACTGCATTTTTTAGAATGAACCCCCCCCTTTCATCATGCCCTGCTTTAAGCTATATTCTCCTTTTCCTCTATTCATTGTATGTTCTTTATAATTCTATTGAATCCCACAATAAGTGGTGGAAAATTGGTAAAATACAAATATAAATGAAAAAATATACAATAAAAAGCTTGTGCTTTAATATAGTCATAACTCTGAACTTTTTACTCTTAGCTGGTGTCATCAGAGCATTACTTTCGCAACTAAAATGCATAGCATTCATAAATTAATTTTATTTGTTTAAATAAAGGGCGAGCCCAACCCTATGTGCACGCAGGAGTAGCTGCTGATTTGCTGTTGTGTTGTTTCCAGAGTTTCCCAGTCAGCTGTGCCCCAGGGCCGGTCGTGGCACACCCTGACAGCATTTTCGCCCAGTTCCCTCTTTCTCTTTGGTGGCCTGAACCTATTCTGCGAACCCCTCAGTAAGTAACACCTGCTTTTCAGAAGCCAGCTCAGCACTTAGCATAACAATGGCCACATTTACGATCATACTTTACATTTCTCCTGAGGTGATGGCTGGGTGTTTGACCTCGAAACCGCAGAATGGAGGCAGTTTCAACATCCTCACCAGGATAAGCCCAGGTAAGGAGTCCCATTTTATCTGATGAAAAAATCAGGAAATACCAGACTTACTGAATGGGTATAAGAGAGCAGAATGCCCCGAACCCATATACCATCATAGCTCTAACTTTTAAACATTTTAAATTTAAATTAAATTTCTGCTCTAAGGTTGCCAGCATTTATTTATGGAAGAGGATTAGGGCCACCATGAAAATATTATTTGAATTCTGACTTTAATTAATGTCAGAATTCTGAGTTTAGAAAAAAAGTCAGAATTCTGAGAAAAAAGTCAGAATTCTGACATTAAAGTCAGAATTCAAATAATATTTTCATGGTGGCCCTAGTCCTCTTCCATATTTATTGAATAAGATCAACTTCTAGAATGATTTTTCATGATAGTGAAAAATCAATATCAAAATGCATTTGAACCAATGCAAATTAACTTTTCAGGTTATTAAAATAAGGAGAATGAATATTTATATGCTTTGCGGAAACGGCAAATGATCATTATTGTGAAAGTAAGAACTATTTTGTATTTTTTAGCTTGTTTATGCATTCATTGCAAGCATGACCATGACAATAATGTCAAATACAAGAACTCGTGGCCATAGGTGGAAATTAGCGAGAGAACATTTCAAACTGGATTTAAGGAAGCACTTCTTTGCACAGCGTGTAGTCAGAGTATGGAATAGTCTTCCTGATAACGTAGTGCAAGCTGAATCCTTGGGTTCCTTTAAATCAGAGCTAGATAAGATTTTAANGATAACGTAGTGCAAGCTGAATCCTTGGGTTCCTTTAAATCAGAGCTAGATAAGATTTTAACAACTCTGAGCTATTAGTTAAGTTCTCCCCAAGTGAGCTCGATGGGTCGAATGGCCTCCTCTCGTTTGTATAGTTCTTATGTTCTTATGTTCTTATGATATCATCAGCTCAGAAGAAAGTATAAAAGTAGTGCAGTGTGGTACCGATGGGCCGGTTTTGTCAAGCCGCGTTATCCGTTGCCCCACTACTTGTGCTTTTGTCCCACCCCTTTGCCCTTGCTCTACCCCCTCTGCCTTTGTCCCACCCAATGTGCTATCTCCACCCTTTCCCCACTTGCAGGTTGTGGCACACAGCATGCTTGGGACTGGACTCAGACGTTGTGATATTTGGTGGAAGTCGTGACTACAGGATGCTAATGGACACGGTGTGTAGCATCATTGGAGCTGCTAGGCAATAAGGATATCAAATGGGAATAGACCATGGTATTATAATAGTATAATAATAGTGATGTTATGTAAATAATGGGCATCAGATGATATGATGGTTCAAAATATAAATTCCTGACCAGAAGGTTGCTAGTTTCCAGTCCTGGTTCCATATCTCAGTACCTTTCATTGCAGTACTTAAGCTAAATGTCTTTTTATATTTATCCAGGTGGATTCATAAATTACAATGGATATGTACAGTATTGGCTGAGTGAGGACAAAATAATAATAATAATAATAATAATGATATGATCACAAATGAAATGGAAGTTTGAATGAGCCTAACAATGACATAAAGGTGAGTTTAAAAGCTGCTTTGTGAGCCAGGCTGATGTCTTAAAATAGCATGTCTATTTTAGATAGCTGTCCTGAGATTTCCATCCTTGGGCCATTGCAGTGACGTGCTTATCTTCCAGACCCAACCCTACTCCCTTCTCAGGTAAAAAACCATTATCAAAACCTGACAGCACAAAAATATTTGGAGCATAATTGGTTTGGTCTGGGCCGGGGCCCAGTATGATATGCTTTCATGGGGCCCAAAATTTCTAACAGCACCCTTGAGTATAATCTTATTTTATTGAGAATAGCTCAGTGGCACTGTTTACAGGTAGTTCTTTAAAACTGTATTTTAACACATATTCTCATGTCATTATCATGTTACAGATTACACCAGTAACTGAAGCAAAAAAATTTATTCATGTTACAACTAAAAATCATATTAAATAAAGATAAATTTTGTAAATGTACAAATATTTTATATATTTTAAAAAGTATTTTACGTGATTGATATTTACAGTATTTTCCCATTATCATTTAAGGTATTTTACAGTGTTTTACCGTGTCAAATACAGAAAAAGAACTGTAAGTCATCATTCCACAACCCCTTGCGCAAGTCATTATATGTAATTTGGTTTTACATGAGCCAAAATAAATATTAGTAACACATACTAAAGAACAGGTCAGGTCAGGTTAGGGAGCATGCACTGATATAGCACATTGTACTAAAGAACACATGAAATAAACTAAAACATAAAGTAAATTTACTTACAGACATATGGAGCCTTCTTATATTAGCATTTATGTTACACTGTAAAAAATGGCAGTAAAAAATACGGTAAAAATACCTTAAATGGCGACTGAAAAATCAGGTAAAATACCGTGTCAAATACAGAAAAAGAACTGTAAATGTAAATACAAAATATTTCTGTATTTAATACATTGTTTGACCATAAAAAACACTGTAAAATACCTTTAATGATAACGGGAAAATATCAATATCAATCAGGTAAAATACTTTTTAAAATATATAAAATATATAAAAAATGTATAAAATATTTGTAAATTTACAAAACTTATCTTTATTTAATACGATTTTTAGTTGTAACATGAATAATTTTTTTTGCTTCAGTTACTGGGGTAATCTGTAACATGATAATAACATGAGAATACGTGTTTAAATACAGTTTTAAATATGTAGTTCTACAGTTTATGGAAACAAGGTATACCGCTATACATTAAACAGTGCTCCTGTAATTTGACAGTAGAATTTATACAGTGGCGTCTGTCACGATCAGGAACAGGCGATCCGGGAAGCAAGCGAGTGGAGCCAGGAATACTTAGAAAGGGGGTTTATTAAGGACAGAAGGGCAACAAACGTTAAACAGGACATGACACCACAACGACTGATCTGGGAAACAGAAGAGGACGCGGACTAATATACACAAGACTAGTCAAAATAACAGGACACAGGTGATCACAATCGGGGATTAAAGCGAGGTAATGAGGGGGGCATGGCACACACGAGGATCGGACGGAGCTGTGTGTGACAGAACCCCCCCCCAAAGGCGCGTACACCGGGCGCGCCCGAGGGGAGGCGACGGACGAGACGAGGGAACAGGACCTGAAAGACAAAAAAGCAAGACATCAACAGGGACCAGGAAACAGAACAGAAACACAAAACTGGCACAAAGGCAAAAGCCACGACAAAACCTGACACAGGACAGGAAATGCAGACAAGCAGACGGAGAAGGGAGACACTGAGGAAGAAGGAGCAAAGACAGGAGGGACCAAGGGAAAGGGAGGAGGAACAAGGGGAGCCCGAAGGAACGGGCGAGCCAGGGGGCAGGGCGGGTGGGACCCGGGCCTGTGTCCCGCCTGTGTCCCCGTCCCTTACGGGACACTGAAAGGTGGGGTCCTGGGGGGTGTCGGCCTCGCCGGGGTAAGGGCGAGGGAGTCATCAGGGAGGTGGCCAGTGAGGATGTGGGTGGGGTGGCTGCCGGTGGTGCCGCCTCATCCACGGACGAGCAGGGCTGGACAGACGAGCAGGGCTGGACAGACGTGCGGTCAGCAGGGGGCGCCTCGGCCGTGAGTCCACCAGGGGGCGCCTCGGCCATGAGTCCACCAGGGGGCGCCTCGGCCATGAGTCCAGCAGGCGGAGGTGGGGCCGTAGCAGGCGCCTCAGGCAGATCGGCGACGGCAGCTGCAGCAGGGGCCGCGGGCATGGCAGCAGGGGCCGCGGGAGTGGCCGCAGGCGGCGCAGCCAGAGCCGCAGGCTGTGCCACCGGAGAGGCAGTCAGGATGGGCGAGTCGGACTGGAGAGCCAGGCTGAACGGGCAGGGCAGAAGAGCCAGGCTGGACGGGCAGGACAGAAGAGTCGGGCTGGACGGGCAGAGAGGCGGCCTCAGGCAGGGCCGCGGGCAGAGTGGCGGCCTCAGGCAGGGCCGCGGGCAGAGTGGCGGCCTCAGGCAGGGCCGCGGGCGTGNGGCCAGCAGGGGGCGCCTCGGCGGGCACCTCGGGCGTGCGGCCAGCGGGGGGCGCCTCGGTGGGCGCCGTCGACACGTGGCCAGCAGGGGGCGCCTCGGCGGGCACCTCCGACGGTGCCGCGGACAGTGCAGCAGCAGCAGGCGGTGCTGCAGGCGGTGCTGCAGGCGGTGCTGCAGGCGGTGCTGCGGGCAGTGCGGCGGCAGCAGCAGCAGGCTGCTGGCAGGTCCGGAGCAGGTAAGCCTGGGACTGCCCCTTTAAGGGCTTTATGGACCCGGGGAATTGCGTCCCAAGCCGCCCTGGTTCCCCTGTTAGCCAGGTGTGCCGGCCGGTAATAATATGCCTCCAAGGGAGGCGGCTGCTCGTCCCCGGGACTGGCAGCAGGAGCGACCTCCCAGCTTATCGGGAAGTCCCCGTGCCCGCCGGCAGGGAGGAAAGAGGGGCGCAGTGAGCAAGCCCCCAAGAAGATTGTTGGGGCGGCTTCTTCCCCTTTTCCTCTGCGCTTCTTCTTCCTCCTGTGGCTGGGGCAGGTCGGTGGAGGTGGGGTTACCTCCGAGAATGTGAGCGGTTGTAGTTGCCTCACCATGAATCCCTCGACCAGCTGCCGGAGGTTTTCGCGCACCTCAGCGATTACGTGCGCGCCCGTGAGCGGAGTCATCTCCTGAAGGAGGCGGCCGCTCTTGCAGGCTAGCTGCCATAGCCCAGGGTCCTCATGGACCTCGGGTTGAGACAGCCAGTATAGCACCTCGTCCAGCAGCTTGAGGCGGCTGTCCTCAAGCTGCGGAGGTGCGCTCGGGAGATCAGTCATTCTGTCACGATCAGGAACAGGCGATCCAGGAAGCAGGCGAGTGGAGCTGGGAATACTTAGAAAGGGGGTTTATTAAGAACAGAAGGGCGACAAACGCCGAACAGGACATGACGCCACAATGACTGATCTGGGAAACAGAAGAGGACGCGGACTAATATACACAAGACTAGTCAAAATAACAGGGCACAGGTGATCACAATCGGGGATTAACGCGAGGTAATGAGGGGGGCGTGGCACACACGAGGATCGGACGGAGCTGGGCGTGACAGCATCGGTGAGCCAAGCACCGTCTGGCCTATTTGCATGTGTCCCAGCATGCTACACTGGTATGCTTAGAATGGCCGCTGTCTAGTTAATGTTCCAGGTTCCATGCATTGTGTGTTCTTCACTGGTACCCTGCTTAAGTTTAAGCTTTATCCCCGTGTGTTTATGTATAAATTACCCACCATGTGTAGTTCCCATTGTTCGTACAGTGACCCTCCCCCTGTTCCTCCTGTTAAAAGTAATGCCTGTTCTTGTATACTGTTATACAAGCAGGTGTTGTGGTGATTGGTGTGATTCATAATCCTGTTAAGGTCTATGAATGAAAGCGTTTTAACCAGACTGCATTTGTGATGTAGCATCATGGCAGAATCAATGGATACTAGAATACAGTAGAAAATCTACACCTTTACATTTTACAGTTACAATTTGTAGTTTTACGGTTTTAAACTGTTAGTTTTACATAAAAAAAAAACATAATATTTTAATCTGAAAATGTTTGGAAAAATACAGATTTAAACAGTTTATTATACAGAATAATAATATGTACCATATTACATTAAACGGTACTACTGTAATTTTTACGGTGAAATTCTGGCAACCATCTGCCAGTAATATGCCAGAATTTTTTTACAGTGTAGCATTTATTTAAGTCTTTGTATCTCCAATATTTTTTGCATAAGTTCAGATTTTAAGTCAAGAGCTGCACATATATTGTTGTAAGGTTAAAATGTTCCAGGTATTTTCTTTGTTTTGTCAACACCAGAACATGCTGTTGTTGTTTCTATCTGTGTTTGTAAAGGCTGCTTTGTTATTTGAAACCTACATGTCAGCATTTCTCATATTGTTTGAAATAATATTTCCTAAACCTAAGGAAAAATACATCTCTGATGCTTTAGATTTTTTAATGCACAGAGACATATCAGTACCACTGGCAGATGTAAAGTAAGATTTTATAGTATGTGAGTCTTGATGATAATTTGCTGTTCTGTCTCCCTTCCTGGATCATCTACTGGGATAAAGATTCCTTTGCAAAGCAGACAGCCCTCAGTAGAGTGTGTGGTGACACGAGAAGAAACATCAGGAAATTTGCATTAACTCGGTTTGTCCTTTAGGCCTGAGCTTAATTATCTGATATTTTGTCCTGGCAGGTTATGTGAGGACTGCATTGGAAAGAATGCAGAAATCTTAGAGAAGCAGCTGTCCATACTTCCACTAAAACTCCTGGAACCCATACAGAAGAGGATTTCTTTCTTCAGGACAGCAGTGCAAACAGACAAGAAAATTACATGCACATAACACTTACTCAGCATGAATTTGCACTGCAGAATCACTGGGGAAATGGAAGACCACATGTAGAGGATCTAAGTCTACTTTTAAAAATTATTTTACAACTGTAACTTAAAGACAGGAGTGGATTTTGTGTTTATTTTATTGTTCTTAAACTGTTCCATTTAAAGACAGATTAAGAAACCATGTGGATTTTTTCACATTTTCTAAGCCAGAGTCAATGACACTGATTGCTAACCCTTTATAAACATGGGTGACACTTTGCTTATTGCCTGAGACAAAGAGGTTCTAGTAACTTACACATTTGAAACTGCAACCTGTAATAAAATTGTACACTGTATGGAAACTTGTTTGAACGTTTTTCTGAAGTATGCATAGGTACAATGACTCCTAATTACCTCTACTAGTATTGTAGACATTGCAAAACCTTCTGGAAAGGATTGCAAGGTAAAACCTTGGGCTATTAGTTATGTCCTCCCCAGATGAGCTTCATGGACAAAATGCCCTCCTCTCATTTGTAAGTGCCTTGTGTTCTTGTGATCTAAAGTAATTGAAAAGCACATGGGTTGCTGTTTTGTAATGGTTTTTGGAATGATTACGTGAGGAACCTGTTGTAACACTGCAGTAACTTCAAGGGTGCAGATTGGCAAAACAGATAGATAGATAGATAGATAGATAGATAGATAGATAGATAGATAGATAGATAGATAGATAGATAGATAGATAAAATGACTAGATGCTTGTTATAATGTTTTTTTTTTTTGGATTGTATATTAGACTACATGCACTAAATGGTACAACATCAAAACACTGAAACCACCATCAACCTGAGGAACTTTTTTTATTAAGCAAAGGTGTTATCAGGAGCTGCAATATACTGTATCTGGCTCTAGTGCTTCTATGTAATGCACTGGTAATGTCATATATCTGATTCTGTTTAATTAGAAAAACTACTGTGTTTTAAGGGTGTGATTGGTCATTTGTATCCATACCACACATAAAAATAAATGATTAATAATTAATAAAAAATATACAAATGCAACACATCTATAAGATGACAGAAAGCAAACACTTCAAATGTATCAGGATGGATTTAAAAATGTATGGGACTAGTTTATTTCCACAGATTGAATCATTTGTGCCATACTTGAATTGATACCTACATCTGTTACACAGCTTTGGTCTGAGACAGCTTAAATAGGCAATTTTTCTACACAGAGACCATTGCCAGTTGCCAGGAGTATGCTGAGTTTTTTTAATTATTTTTTAAAAAGCCATAGCGAATTCTGCTTTTATTAGCCAGGAAATGTCTTTTGCATCATGAATTTGTACTGGGGTGAAAGGCTTTTTAGGATTAATAAGGAGAATTTACCACATTAAAGGTGAAATTATAAAGCAAAATGGTACCGATTGCAAAAATAAAACAATTACTTTTAAATTCACTTTTGAACTGTAAGAATAAATAAAGCATTAGAACGGTAGCAACAAAAAAAAAAAAACCCACAAAGATATGAATAAACAAGATGTCATATAATCCAGTTTCGAGAAGTACTGAATGGATCACCTGGAAATGTGTTTTTAACCTAAGTGCTGTGGGTCCTCATCGTCATATGTTGGTCTGAAAGTATACTTGTTCATTTATTGCACATTCCACTTCTATGACAACTTGCAGAATCTTTCCCCACCAATTAGGTGGTTACTTGAATTCCTTTGTGCGTATCTTATTGTCCATGTTTGATAATGTCATATTATTTATATTTTATATGTTTCAATATTTACAGTACCAGTTAATAGCTTGGACACACCAAACCTCCTACAAAGGTGAGTTATAGTGTCATATCACATGATTGGGTCACCTAACTTAGAGTAGAAATGGTTTTGAAGAAGTTAGATCCAAGAGTAAAGGTAAAGCGGCCAATAATTGCTCAGAATATATATGGGACCTCCTTCAGGACAGCTGGAAAAGCATCCCAGGAGGCCACCTCATGCGAATGGGTTAGAAGATTAGAGAGTCCCTGCAGGTTATGGGCCTTGCTCAAGTGCCCAAGATGGAATCACTTTGCTGACCACAGGATTTGAACCCAACCTAGAGCCTTTGGGAGCCTGAAATATAGGGCATTAGCAGGAGAGCAGAGACTTCACCCAGGCTGGCTGAACTAGGCAGGCATGCTTCAGGGGGTGACCCATACAGAAATGAAATATATTGCAATATATTGGAATTTATGTTGTCGAAGTAAAAAATGTACTTAAAAATATATTTTAAGCAATATATTCACATACCATATATTTCTCAAATATATGTGAAATATATGATTGTAAATACATCGATTCATATACTATAGGCCAATACATTGCTTATATATTCCCAAATATATTTAAATCAATTAGGTTGTTTTAAATTTCATTTATTAATTTATGTAGTTTATGTGACAATTAGAACAAACAAATACATACAGTACAGCGCAGTGGTGGCCTAAAGTTTAAGGATTTGGGCTGGTGTTGTGTTCATTTGAAGGCAGTTTAGACACTTGGGATTTGTCACATTGTAATTTTCACAAAACAAGTGATTATGCTAATAAAATACCTGTTTGGGCCATGTTCTTGTCCTTTCTCTGTAATAATATTCCCAGTGGGCACAGCACGTGTTATCCATATGGGTTTTTGATGGATATTTGGTGAAGTGGTGGATCCACCAATTTCCACTTGATATCCACATAGATCCATTGTGATTTTAAGTATGTGGAAAAGATGTACTAAATCCACGTGGAATTTTTGATTCCATTATCAATCTTTGCCCACCGAATACAATTTTAGTTCAAACAGGAAAAATATTTTTGCATGTTTTTCATAAATTGTAAATCTGCATGTATATGTAAACACAGAATAGAGATAATCAGAGTGTAACTCAACCTCTGCTTTTTCTGTTGTAAAGTTCTAAAGTAGGCCCTAATGATTTTGTACATTTTTCATATGGCACCTAGACAGATTTAAAACACTTTATGTGATGTCTTTTTAAACTAGTCACTGAACATACCCACAATTGTATTTTCGATAACTCGATAAACTTTATGGCACTGTCGGCAACCGCGTGTTTGGAACGCTAACAGGTTATCTGCAGCTACACTTTTATTTCAGCATTCTGTTGTTTTATTTTTGTGATCTAGTGACGGATTGTCTAGTATTTTATTTTAAAAAATCAGGTGAGAATAAATAATATACA